GTTCTAAAACATCTATAGAGTCCAGTCCCTGTAAGAGAAACAAAAGCAATTTGTTTGCTTTTACAGTCATTCCTTTATAAGGCCAAAATGATCACTAACATTTTCCCCACCTCCCCTTACTATCAAAAGTAGTGTATTTGACACTATGATAGTTATGTTAGTAGTATGTTATGATAGTAGTATGTTAAAATTCTATGGTCTGTCAAATAGATGATCTTCACAATATGAACGGTAGAAATAATAAGTAAATGGTATGGGACCACAGGAATACAGTGCTTTCTATATTCTTTATAGTAACTGGGTACTCAAAAGTACCTTTTATACAAAAATTCAGAAAGAAGGTACGTAACACTGAATTTTAGATCAAGAGTGGAGAAAAGCCAAGAAAAAATACAGACAAAATAGCTTCTAATAATAACTTTCACATGCCTATATTTTCCATTGTTTAAGTCCAGAGGAAAAAAAATTCTCTTGCACCAAGAAAGGGCTACTTTATAAACATTCACTGTGATGACTTCCAGTGCCAATATCAGCATATGGTGTTCAGATTACTCTATGGATATGTGATACTACTGCAATATAAGATCCTTGCAATACATAGTGACAAGCGAATGATAGGTGTGATCTTGGTTGCATTCTCAGCAGTGTGTCCTGCCCAAAGCCTCACAGAATGTATGCCTGAGAACATGCTAGAATAAGATGGACTAAAATGGAAAGGATTCCCTAAAGACACACAATTTCAGAACCACTGCCCTAGAAGAGGGTGGAACACCATTCTGAATGATGGGTACATCCCTATCCCCAACAGCCCTTCATGGAGTGAATGATGTGACGGATGCAGCTCATTCTCATCTCATACAGAACTACGTATGATTGAATAATATGGTATGTTAATAGAACAACCTAAAATTAACAAAGCTGTCAAGATTCAGTGGGTTTTAGTGATCACTGAAGAGTATGCAATCTTAAGACTTTTAAAATATTGTACAATTCTCCTTATAAGCATTATAAATAGTTGTGATTCCCTCCAACCACCATGTTCACAAGGTCTCCCTCACCCATATTCACTTCCATGATATGAGAGGCAGTAGTATGAGGAACAACAGTTTTGATTAAACAGCTCTTTGAACCTTTAACACTATCAACTGATTATATTAAGACTTGTTCTGACCCAGAGTGTCTTCTTACATAACTGGCTGCATATATGCCAGACAGGAGGTACCACAACAAAGATGGTTTATACAATCCCACTGGATTTCTGGTGGTTAACTCCCCACTCTTCCTTGTGAAACTTCCCAGGATACGTTGAGTTTAGCCACCCTTCTCCTCTGTCTTGGGCCAGAATACTGTTTCTTCTCCACTCTTCTCTCAGGAATTAGTTTCCTGCGCCCAATCTTTTCTCTCCCTTCTCTCTCAATCTCCCTAATAAGAGGTCTTACAAGGGAGTTGAATTGACCTTATCCTTTCAACCTATATCTTGCAGATTCTTTATAAGAATCTGCAGTCCACAGATCTTCCTTAACTACCTCCCTCTCACTCTTCTATGGGTTTACTTTCCTGCAACACTTATCAGGTTGGCTTCAGTGACCTGTTCTGCTGCCATGTCTTTCCAGACCTTCCCTTCAGCAGTTACATCCCTCTCTTTCTCTGCATCTCTTTTGGCCGTATACCCTCATTTTATCTCCTCTTCTCTTTTTCTAGAGCTGCTTTTCACTCCTCTCCTTCCCACCACTCTATCCTAGATACTTTTCTGGGCTTTTCCCTCCTCTATTTATTCCCAGATGATTAGAGTTTTTCCTCAATCAATTGGCAAGATTAATGTATTAAACACTCATGGCTCAGGAGCGATGGGTACTGTCTTCCAGGGCATTAGTCTCACAATAGCACCACTAGCATGTGATCAAATTTCATTCACAAACATGAGCCAGTTTTTGACAGTGGAAATGTTTAGCTTTCTTAGTGAAATGAGATGCATTTGAGGAAAGTTTCATTAATCGTCTCTACTATGAGCTTATTGGCCAACACAGGCGTTGTTAATTTCTGTTACATCCATCCATTAGGGACATGTCATGGTTAAGTACAACAAAACATTTGTCCATGGGCACTCTTTAATGTTCTACTGCATTGTTTCTTTCTGATTAGGTCATTCATATTACTAATAAAGTGGCAAAATTTTGATCAGCTGCCATAGCCTGTTGTGGTTCTCTGATAACACACTGATTTTTTCCTTCTGTTTTGGATACTGGTGACATAAATTTTTATACCACATGGGTGCGGTGATTGGCATAATGTACGTTGCACATTCTGTTTTGTTTTGTTCTGTAATATTTGTTAGGTGCTGGTCTTTGACTGCAATAAATTAAATTAATTCATTCAATTCAGTATTCTACTACCAACTCTGTTTTACTATCAGTATGTAAGCAGTACATACTGATAGTAAAGTATCAAAGAAGTCCCAGAAGTACATGCTGGATTTCGAAGGGGCAGAGGAACTAGAGACCAAATTGCTAACATGCACTAGATTATGGAGAAAGCCAGAGAGTTCCAGAAAAACATCTACTTCTGCTTCATTGACTACACAAAAGCCTTTGACTGTGTGGACCACAACATACTATGGCAAGTTCTTAAAGAAATGGGAGTGCCTGATCACATTATCTATCTCCTGAGAAATCTATATGTGGGACAGGAAGCAACAGTTAGAACTGGATATGGAACAATTGATTGGTTCAAAATTGGGAAAGGATGACGACAAGGCTATATATTGTCTCCCTACTTATTTAACTTA